AAATCTGCAAGATCGATTTTCCTCTGTGTGCCCACTATATCTGATTCCTGTCCATGAGAAGGAAGCTATGTTTTTGTTATTTTTTTAAATCTTCAAAGTGCACAGATGGACATTTCCTTACTTGAGGCATTTGTCACTCAGTAACTCTGTGCCTCCGATTTCCTATCTCAGAAATCAAAATAATGATACTCATCAACTTTGTAAAACCTTTTGAGAACTACAGATAAGCATCTCTGTAAAAGTAGTCAAATATCTTGTAAATACAGTCAGAATTGAAACTTAGGCAATTGAAACATCTTCCGGTATCTTATAAAAATGAGCGACTCAATGGCAAAGTACAGACAGTCAAAAACCCCGAGGCTGAATCGATTCAGTCTTTGCAGGTTAGTCTAAACTGCAGAGATTAAATTGAAACAGAATTGAACAGACATTTATACCTTTGATTCAGGAAATGTAGCCACATGCCTGTAGTGGCTCAGGCAAAAAGCTGGGGGGTGCTAGAGCACAGCATTCTGGCTGTGTGTTCGCTTCCTCTTCCTGCTGCCCCTGAGGTCTCTGAGATTTGCAGTCCAGACTTACAGCAACAGGACTCTGCAGGGTTGCTCATCACTTCCTCTTCCAGATGCCTCTGGGATTTGTTGTCTGCAGTCACAGTGAGCACTAAGTTTGAGCGGGGGGTTGCTTAACCTCCCTCCCTGGCCCCAGATCCCAGCTGGGGTTTGCCTGGGGTGGGGAGCAGTCATCCCCCCGCCTGCAGACTGGTTTGCATCCTCAGCTGGGCTTGCCCTCCAGCCCCCTTTGTCAGTCAGCCTTCACTGCTCCAGCTAGGGAGCAGAGGGGTGGGGTCAGCCCTGCTCTCTGGAGCAGACAGCATAGCCCAGGGCTGCAAAATGCTGGGGTGCTGGGGGACTCTGATTTAACTTGAGCCAGGAAGGGGTCTGGGGTTGCATAAACTGGTTTGACCCAAATCAGTTAAGTCTGATACTACATTCAACCAGGTTTATCTTATACCAGTTTTAGTCATTTTGAAACTGGTTTATGTGCACTGAACTTCTAGGTTAACATTACACATCAACCAGTTTAAGTGATCAGAAACTGGTTTAAATCTGTAACAGAGCTGATGTTCAGTGCACATAAACCAGTTTGAAGATGGCTGAAACTGGTTTGAGATAAACCTGGTTGAATGTAGTATCAGACTTAAATGATTTGGGTCAAACGGGTTTATACAATGTCCGTCCCAGACCCCTTGCTGGTTTAAGATAAACCAGACTCCCCCAGCATCCCAGCATGGTCTCTGGGCTGGGCAGGGCTCGCTGCTCCACAGCAGGGCTGGCCCCTCCCCTCTGCTCCCTGGCTGGAGCTCTGGCAGAGACTGCAGGCACAGCATGGTCTACTTGCTTCCCCTTGCCCTGCCCCCACATTGCTGCTCACTGCTCAAGCAGGAATCCCGCCCCTCCCTCCCTCCTACCTATCTCCCACAGCACGGACCCCAGCCCCATGGACCCTAGGCATGTGATATGCTAGGTAATGCTAAGAGGTGTGTGTGTGTGTGTGTGTGTCCAATTTCACTGGGACAGGCAGACAGAACAGTGACCGCTTAGGGCTTTTTGGAGCTAATCAACAGGTCAGCTGGTAAGCTGTTTAATAAGAGTTTGAACTAATGGAGAGAAGCTGTTGTTTTGCTGATGGGGTAATGAACACTGTTATCAGCCCCCTGCTGGCTTGCTCACCTGTCAGTTTGCTGTAGACAGTATAAAGAAGCAGGGAGGGAGATTGCAAAGTTCTGTATCATCAACAGATGCATGCAGTGCACACCCTACCTTTGCCTCAGAGTGCTAGCCTGGGGCTCGGGGCTGGCAACACTCCCGCCCCTTGAGCAGCCAGCAGGGAAAAGCCTGGGATGGTGCAGGCAGACCTCCCTAATCACAGCGTCCTGCCTGGGCCTGGCCATGCCCCCCCATAGCTCAGCACTATGCAAGGAAAGGTAGGGCTGCTCTAGCCCTCCCCCCCACACTTGTAGCCTGAGCCACTGCAGTCATGTGCCTGAATTTCCTCAGTCCAGAGGGAATGTCTGTCTGGTTCAAACCTGTTCAGCCTAGCCAGGTTAGACTAACCTGCAAAGATTGAATCAATTCAGGCTCAGGCTTTTTGAATGTCTGCCCCTAGCCCTATTCTATTACAGGTTTAAACCAGTTTCTGATCACTTAAACTGGTTTATGTGTAATTTCTGTCCTTAGCCAGTGAGTTGAGTAAAATAGGTTAGCATCTTTCTCCTTTAGGGCTTTGTTTTGGTTGTCAACAATTCATAGAATTATAGAATCGGAGTTGGGAAGGACCTCAGGAGTCGCTTGGTTTTCATAGGACAAGCTGTTCTTAAACCTGCCTATCCAGCCTTTCCTTGAAAATTTGAACTGAGGGAGCTTCCCTGGGCAGTTTGGTCCATTGTCCTACTGTTCTTACACTTAGGAAGTTTTACAGTTAATCCAAATCTGCTTTGCTGATTCAGGCCAGATTTGGAAATAGCAATCAACGTGTCATTGCTTTGGAGATAGTCTCCGTTCTTAATGGATACGTACCACATCATAAACCCTACCTTATAATTAACTCAATTGTTTCAGTTTCAGCAGGGAGGTCCAGCCTTCAGCGAACCACATTGGCTCCCATAAGGCTCTTCTATCTGTATAATCATGCTGAATCCTAGACAATAGAGATGAAGGTTTATGTTGGGTCATCCAGGCTTTAGTAATACGGAATTTTTTATTCAGGTCAACATGGAGATTTATTTCTAGAGGAGCTGGAAAAAGTTTGCATTGCTGATGCTTTTCCTTGTTCTACTGATAAATGGAGGGCTTCATTCCCTAGGGATATCACTCGTGCTTTTCATGAGTATTAAATTCGCTCTCTGTAGGTGCATGCACACAGACGAGAGCAATGCATCACTTGTCACTGGCTTCTCTTGGGGATTGTAAATACCTTGGCCTTTGAACCTTTACTAGCGTGCATACAGGAATGATAAGGCATTGAAGCGTCTTGCAGTAATATAAACCGTTAGTCTCCCAGATTTCAAAGTCTGTCAATTTTAGAAGATCATTTAAAGCTGAAATGGTATCTAGAGAGCACAGGCATGCAGACAATGACGTGGCAGTTGTTGAAGGCCTGAAAATGTGAGAACAGTTTTCTGTGAATTTTGGCATCTGTTTCCCCTTGAAAAATGTTGAGGTTTCCTCTTTCTTTAAACCTCCTCCCCCTATTCCAAGAAACTAGTGAGAAGCTATTTGGACTCACTTTAAATATACATTAAATTGCTCTTTGGAACTGTGTTTGATAACTTGAGGAAAGCTTTTAGTACTTTAAAATAGGAGTTTACTACTAGATGGGGAACCTGAAAAGAATAATAAGCAGTTCTTTTTAATTGTATTCAGTAATGCTTGTAATAAAGAAATGGGGAATCACAGGTAACTATTTAGAGAAAGAACTTCTCATTTTAAAACTTAGCTTTAATTTTTTGTTTTCAATTCTTTTGTTTCAAGAGAGGGGATTTTAATTTTCATAGATTTCATAGACATTAGGGCTGGAAGGGACCTCGGAAGATCATCGAGTCCAGTCCCCTAAAAACCTCTTTTCGATGTATCCAAACTTACCCTTTTGCAATTGCTTGTATTTCATGATAGGAAGATTTAATTTTTGCTGCAGATTCTTTCATGGATAGTGCCAGATACATCTCTAATGGTGTGATGTTCCTGTGCTGTTCTCTCCTAAGCCACTAAGGTATGCTCAGCTCACTAGTTGCTTTCAAATTGTGACCTGATCAACAAGACCAGAATGTTAAAATACACCTTCAGAGACCAGTGAGATAAAAAAAATTGGATTAGGACAGCACCTTTGGGCTTCGCTATTGAGTAGATGCATATTTAACTAGGATAAAAAATAAATATTATCACTTATAGATCTATAACTGGAGTATTTTGTTTTGAATTCTTTGAGGATACTTGCCTATATCCACCAAAAAAGTGTTCTTTAGTAAAGCTCTTAAAAAGGGCAAATGTTGTAACGTCCTTTTTGGATCTGTAGATTAGTGAGTAGCACCACTAGGCTTAGTGAATCCAAGTATATGGTTAGGCCAAGTGGGCATGTAATCCTTACTCCATGGAAGTTAATAAGAATTTTAACTTAAATTTAACCTGAAATATTTCAACGTATGCATATTCTTTAAACAGTCTTTTCCTGGACATAAAGAATGGCTAGGGAATAGTTAAAAATCTAGATGCAATGTTAAATGAATTTAGCTTTTCATTTAGCTGCTCTGTGTCAGCTTTAGAGCTGGGCAGCCTGCATAACAGGATTTGCCTAGTTCTGATGACTGTTGAGGATTCATTCATCAATGTTTATATATAAAGTGTTTTAAAATCCTCAGAAGGGCAAACTATTATTATTAATACTTAATAACAAAGGCAGAAACCACGAATAGGCAGACAAGATTCTTTGGGTGAATCTGATAGCTTTTATCAGAACAACTTAAATAGTTGGAAAACAATTATTAAGCAAGCTTTCGGGTTCAAAAAGCTTGCTTAATAATTGTTTTCCAACTGTTTAAGTTGGTCTAATAAAAGATATCAGATTCACCCAAAGAACCTTGTCTACTTATGACCTTAGACCAACATGGCTACAACCTACACCCCTGAAACCAAGAATAGAAATTTTAGTCCAGAAGATGAAAATTGGTATGTAGAAATTAAGAATTGTGATGGAATGTTGTTATTACCTTGGTCCAGTAAATAAAAACATGACTTGACAAGAAATAATTATAGTCATAGGATACTTAATATGTTATGGTGTTCGGGGTCTTACGTTGCTACAGATCCAGTAAGAATCACCCATGGAAATGAGTTTCAAGTTTAAATTACCAGGGAAGTGTTTGCATTTGACCATTTATTTATTTGAAATCCCCAAATGATACGGTATTGTAAAATATTTTGTTGGTTTTTTTTGCCTTGAAACAGAGCAGAAAAGCTACAGTTGCTTAACCACAGGCCTGTGACTGCCGTGGAGATCCAGCTGGTAAGTCACAATGCTCCCAGCCTTTCAGAGCTTTTGAATGAATGTTGCTTTCACCTTGAAGGTCAGTTGAGTAATCACTTTCTCATGGCCACCTGCTGATTAGCAGCAGGGTTTAACTTGTCTGGGCTCCAGGCAGAGTTTCAGTTTCAGGTCCCTACTCTTTCTAGACAGCTAGAGTGGAAAATTAAATGGATTTGCAACCCGAATGCAGTGGGGCCACACTGAGCCCAGGGCCCTGCATGCTTCGCACTACTCTAATGGTTCTGCTAGAATTTACCCTTTTTCATATATTTTTATACCTTCATATTTTCTAATCCTCTGTGAGACCTTCCTACAAAACTGCCCCTTTTCCTATCAGACCTACCTGCCACTGTTCGTTCTGTTTGATTCAGTGCCATACCTTAAAAATAGCTATCACAGTTATTAAAAGGGCAGTTATAATCTCATGTTCAAGAATATATTTACCTAACTTTACTCAATTATATATAGGTCTGTGTATAAATTTACTCCACTGTACTCTGAATAGCTCTAGTAAATGAATATTTAATTTTGTTATCCTTTTAGTTTCATGGCTTTCCTGTTCCAACTTGTATGCTTCCTTCCATTTGGTACCATGCAAGAAATAAATGAGGGTAACTAGAATTTGTCTAAAAGGCAGGTTTCTGTGGGGAGGTACCTTGTATTTTAATTAAGGTCATTTTTCTTCCTTCTGGTATAAATTGTTGCTCCTTGTTTATATTTGTCTTCTCCAGACCGTGTCCTGGGATTTAGTTTCAAACAAGAACAAAAGGAGCATGAAATTCTAATCCCTATCCCACTGAGTAAAAGTACTGTACACAGAACAACTCTCTCAACCTCCAAATTTAATCTTAAGCATATGTTATTCCTAGCTCAGCAGCTTGCAAAAAAAAAAAAGCAAGACAATGGTGTTGATCTAACCATGACACCGGGCCAGGCTTTACTTGATTTTTAACAATGATAGGTTAGGATGAGGATCGTCTCCTGAATGAATAAATTACTTTGCATCTCTCTCTGTGGAGCAGTAGGTTTTAATTTAGTCTATTTTAAAACTCACAGACCCAAGGATTTATTGCCTCGTGCCTTCCACTTTTGGCAGACAGGCTGGCAGGCTGTTATTGTCGACAAACAAAATATTAATTTCACATGTTCCTCTGCAAAATGCAAGATGACGGGGAGCTGAAATGTTTTATTTTCTCAGTAATACACATTCCTGCCCACCCTGCATACTTGTCTAATAACCTCTCAGAACGAGATGAATCCAACCACATTCAGGCTTTTGCTACATTTATTGTCTGTCTGAGCTGCGTGTCACCGATGAACATTTTGGAAATATTCTTCATATGTGGAAACTGCAGGTATCTCCTTGCATCTCCAAGTATCTCCAAGTGCATCTCTTTCATAAGAACAAAAGTGCATTGTATTCTGCTTGGTAGCTTTAAGAGCAATCAGAATGCACCTTTCTTTTTTCATTACGTCGTATTGCTTTTTAGATTTAATAAAGTCTTAAAATAATTGTCTACAGAAAGAGGTAGTCAAGCTCACAGGCTGTTCTGTTCACCAGCCCAAGTCATGTTATCACATCAGAAACGGTTTACCTCAATGCACATTATTTCAGACTTCTTTGGTGGGTCCTTACATAATTCATTCTCTGGTATTTGCTGTCTGCCCATTATTCTTCTGGGATTTAGATAAGATAAACATTGATTTAAAATTTTAACTGTTGGACAAAAGGAATGGAAAAAAGACGCCCAATATGCTTCTGTGCAAGCAGCAGCAGCAGGATATGTCCATAGCAAACAATAGTCGAGCTTCAAGGCGTGCCTGCATGAAGTCCAGTGGGACTGCTCTTTGCAGATTAACTTCTGGAGAAATATTTGTAGAATAAAGGCCACATAGTATGCATACAATAGCTTGTGTGGGTGCGCAGCTGTGTACATACACATTTGCTTCTTTATTTCATTAATAACATTTTATTGATATTCCATTAAATTATCTTAATAGTTCAGTTAATACAGAGCAGTGTTTTTCAACCCTTTTTCATTTGCGGACCCGTAAACATTTTTGAATGGAGGCACAGACCCCTTTGAATTGTAAGTGTGGTTATTCACATACTTTTGAATCATAGTCATCTTTTGTGGTCTGCTTAGACAAAGAGGGTCCACAGACCACAGGTTGAAAACCACTGATATAGAGAGTTTCTCATTGTCAGGTGTCTGGTTTATTTTTTCCTTGCTAATTTAAAACTTTTGAAAGCTTTTGCTAATTAACATTTTTAATGAGACTTTATCAGGGCCTCATTACTGTTCCATGCCGTTCTGGTACTGAATCTCCTTTGGTAATGATGGGTATTTTGACTCTGAGAAGTTTGGATTTATAGTCCAATTAAAAAAAAAGAAACTGCTCTTAAAAGTGCAGCTGGAAAGGGCTGCATGGTACCTAATTATTCCACACACACATTTATTTAATAAGTACAGGTTTGGTTCCCAGTAGTGGTTATTACTGAACACGGCAGCATCTTTTATTTAATTCTACAGTTGATGAGCAATTTGTCTTTTCATTTTGCTGTAGCAGGAAGATTGTGTGTGTGTTTTCTGGGTTTTTTATATTGGAAAGTCTATGCTTTGGAAATGAAGAAACAAAAAATAACAACACACGTGACCAAATATTAAACGAGTAAATACTTCACTTAGGTGCCTCAAGGCAGAGTACTCAAATCAACCCACTTCAGCATTCCTGTGCTTTTTGGGCTTATTTAAACTGGAGTAAAGTGGTGCAGATCACTATCATTTTTATTTAGTAATAGTTTATGCTCACTCTGCATTGGTGTAAATGGGTGCATTAATTCAGCAAGACACTAAACAGGTGCCTAAAATTAAGCCTCGGAGTATATCCCCTCAAGGTCAACAAGACTGCTCACATGCTTAAATTTAAGCAAGGGGCATATTGCTCAGCTCATTGCATGGATCAAGCCCTAACAATTGAGACCAATATATATATATATAAGTTAACAGTTGTCTTCAGGTTTCTACATGAAAGGCAATGGCCTCCTCTTCCAAGCGGGGGACACCACTGCTGCAGCTGCTGACTTTGGTATGAATTGTGCGTGGTCATCTTTTCTAAAACTGAGTCCACTTTTCCTGAGGAGTCTAAAAATATGGATTTAGACACCAAACTTAGACATCCAGGCTATAAAAAAGGAAACGGCTCTCTTTCAGCTGAAGGTATTTTATGCCAATCATATTCAAGAACAATATTTGCTACCTTTTTTCCTAACTCCTGCATTAACCTTAGAGACCATTTAAGAGCACCAGCAGGATGGTGAAATATCCCTATTGCTCCTAATGTGTCACACGGGGAATTTAATTACCGGTGATCATTTGTCCATATCAGATGGAAGGCATAATTGGCATGTGGTTTGTCGATACATTGATTTTGAGAGCCACACAATTGTATTTCTTCTAGCATACAAGATGTTGTTATGAATGACATCAATATGCTGCTGCAGCTGTTACAGAGAGATTTTACAGTGATTTCTGGGTAGTAAAGAGGTGAATGCTGAAATATTGTAGTATCTTTGGAAAGATTTATCAGAACAAGGAACATAGACAGTCTGGTTAATTGGCTTTCTTCCCCATTGATTTTAAGGATGTCTCTTTTTCCAAGGCTAGAGAATAACGTACAAGTCTGGTTGTATTTTGGAGAGTACTTAACGTGTACGTTTTGTTACTGTAATTAAATGCTAGCTACTTTCCACTAGTCCTATACAGCTTTTTGGAGACCACCTGTATCTCCAAATACAGTTTAAGCAAGGAGAGCTTAATTATTGCTGTTACCCAATCCAGTTGAAACCTTGGCTAACTCTGCCATACTGTGTGCGTGTAGCTTGACCCGTGGAAGTGATCTCTGGTTGTTAATGTAGTTTATATTTGAGTAAGACAGTTGTTAGAAGAACTGATTTGTTGATGGAACTTTTATGAAGACAGACACGAGTTAAGTGGGTTGCTTTGTTTCCTTCCTTTTGTGTTTTTTCTTCTGTCATTTTAGGATAATCCAGTGTTATTACTGTGATAAGAAGCCGGCAATTTTTTTTTATCTGAAATTGCAAATCAGAAGACTTTAGGCTCAAATCTGATGCACCTGGAATGAGCTACGAAAATCAGCTTTTATTTCCTTTGTTTGATGTTTTCATTTTCATCATTTCTTGCTTGTCTCTTTAGGTGCAGTTCTTCATGCTTAATCTTTATTTCTTGGTTTTTATCATGCTGCTTTGCTGTTCTCTAATTGCCTAGTAAGTTTCCATAATAAGTCATTGCACTTGGCCTTTCTTTGAAGAAAAAAATCCTTAGCTCATTCTTTTGATCTTTTGAACTCTTTAAAGTGATTATGCTGCACTGCAGAAACACGAGCATTTATAGCCAGCCAGTCCAGCCAGATATAAAAGACTTTGTCTATCAGTCATTGCAGTATATCGAATCATAGAATCACAGAAAATTAGGGTTGGAAGGGACCTCAGGAAGTCATCTAGTCCAGCCCCTCGCTCAAAGCTGAACCATCCCCATCTACATTGTCGCAGGCAAGGCTGTATCTAGCCAGGTCTTAAAAACCACCAAGGACAGAGATTCCAGAACTGGAGGTACACTTATATATCAGTCCATATCAGATCAGCGGTGATAAAAGGAAAAATTAGCATTATTGGCAGTCGGTCGCACAGCCGCACGCATGCACACGACCAGGAATGCAGCCTGGGAGCTCGGAGAGCAGCATCCGGCCAATAAGTATTTGGGGAAGGGAAGGAGCATGGTGGGGAGGGCAGATAGAGACCGCACTGGTGAGGGTGGAGATCTGGGGGACGGGGGATGAACGGGGCAGGCAGACTGGCGCTCTCCCTGCCCCCCCCCTGCCATGGTCAGTGCACCCTCGCCCACCAAACAGCTCAGTGATCTCACTCGCCTCTGATTGTGCACAAGCCCCGTCAATCAGTTTAGTAAGGGAAGATGCATTAAAACACATGAGACAACACCATTGCACTTATTTTATAAGAATGGGACTACTTTACAGTTAGGGCTGCCAGGCCCTGGAATGGGCAGCTGGGTGCCCGGGGCATAGTGGCAACAGGGTCTTCCAGTTGCTGCTGTGATTGCAGTTGTTCAGCAGCTGCCTCTTTTTGTCCCCCCCCTCCCTGCCAAGTTGGCGCCTGGGACAGTAGCCCCATTCTCCCTGCCGTAGTTACGCCACTGTTAGTGATCCGTTGGGGTGGTCATATCTGTTACAGAGCATGATGTTCAGGGATGGGTGATGCAGGTACCTTTCAGGGTACTTCCTTCTGTAGCCCAGGATAGCACCAGCTGTCCCCCAGCACCCCTCGCAGTGCTAACTGGAATGACTGCATGAAGAAGCTCCCAGAAATTAATGCTCGTCATCACTTTCGTATTTTGTATTATACACGATTGAAACAAGTTCTCATGCCATCGCTCTTAGGACTGTCAACACCGTGTGACACTCCTGATTGTTTGGCTCAGCTTTATTATGGAAGGTGAGGGGGGAGTCCTCTGATAAAACTAGCGTATACATTGCCTTGAGAGTGTGACCTGCAATTTTAAGCCTCCCGAGACAGACCGATTCTCAGAAAAGATAAAGCTGGGGATTGTCTCGTTTGAAGAAGAGAAGTGACATGGCTTAAGAGCATTTTGTCTCAATAAGACCTGATCCCCCTCGCCCTCCGTTGATCTTATTCTCTAATATCAAATCCAGAATCCAGTGGTTGTGATCACTTGAAAGATCTGGTGAGGTGACCTTGAATCAGGCCTTCCAACATTGCATAGTGAAGACTCTTAATAAAGGGATTTTCTTGTGGGCAGCTCCCTTCCTAGTTAGCATCTCTGAGGTTTCTATGGAAAAGTACTGGGGAAGTAGTTAAGGTAGTATAGGAGCGATGATGTAGCTGACATGATCCAGAAATTATGTGAGTGGCAAGGATTTCTAAGAGTGCTACTTTTTATTGGACCGGGTATGTAGTTATTGGACAAGCTCTACCCCTGGGAATTTCTCCCACCCGCTCCCCCTGCCGTTCTTTACTATGCCGTGCTTGGCTCTTTGCGATCAGACCCGAGGAAGAATGGCTTACATTCAGAAGCTTGCCTAATTCTATCCCCACTACATAGCTGGTGCAATTAAAGATATTACCCTAAGAAATCCTTGTCTCTCAAAAGTAGTGAAAGACTATTGAGCTTCTTTTAATGTAGTTATAAAAGCAGGTATCAGCAAGAGAGAAAAAATGCCAGTTTAATAGCAGATGCTGTGCAGACCTCCTTCAGTTCATGGACCTGTTGTATTTTGAGAGCCACCGCTCTGACAGTTGTGTACTGTTCATCCGGCAAGAGGAAGCCACGGATACAATTGTTCCTCCTTTCGGCTGATGGTTAGGGTCTCCCTTTTGTCTGTTCCATAAGCAGACTCCAGTTGGGTTATTTTCCCTCCTCCAGAATCTGTGCTAATGGCTGGTGAAATCTGAGCAGATTGTATAAAGACGTGGCTTGTAGGACAAAAAGCTATTTGGTTTAATTGGGCATGCCACTTCAGGGTTTGGAAAGCAAGATGTACCTGGATAGCTGCCAACTTAACTAGAACCGATTAGACCTGCCTTGACTTGGAACCATAATTAATGCAAATCACAGCTCTACAAAGGACATTTGGAAAAAAAACCCCAGCTTTGTATACAAAAAAAGAAACTCTTAATTGGTTTCATTTGTTTTCGAAGTTTCCATTCTGCTTGCTTTCTGGTCCCTGACAAGTTCTTTCTTTTAACAGCTGGCTACAAATCAGGACAGTTGTTTTTCACAGGTAGCGGCGTTGCCGTGAGATTTTTGCAATCTAAAAAGTGGTTAGGTCCATAATTAATCTTACAGAACATTATTTATTGTCCGCCTGTAATGGCATGCTTTATGCTGTATGGGCAAGGGACAGGCAGTTGAGGCTAGAGTCCAACTAGATTTTTTTTAATGCAATGACTGTTGTAATGGGAAATGGGGTGGCCTTTTAATGGGGAAATATTTAGTCCCATTTGTATCTAAAGAGTGAAGGATTTGAGGCCAGGGATCAAGTGATAACTTGCAGGTTACTTGTCCAGTAAGTGGCTCAGTTAGGGGAAGGAGATCTGTGGGGAGTAAGAAGGTTCCCACAGTCCTTGAAGGAGGCTCTGCACCCGGCTAAATGGAAGACCTAAGTAGAGAAACCGGCTGTGTGAAGTGGCGCAGAAAGCTCTGAAGAAGAAGTTTTTTGGAGGCGCTAAGGAACAAGGACTGTTTTTCCTGTTATGATTTGAAACATAAACCTGCCCTCGGAGAAAGAATTAAAACTCCACCTAAACTTTTGCTACGGCTTTACAAGCGACCCTCGTCTCTCTCCTTTGCACGGCACCAAGCAGGCTGTGTCTACACTTAACAAAGACGAACGGCACGCAACGTGTCTGCTGTAGCTTCTGCAGAATAGGAACTACTACACACAAAAAGCAACCCCTTGAAAGTCTGGAAGTGAGCAGTGGAGATGCAGCCATTTTCTTTATGTCATATATTGCTCTGAACCCCCTAGCAGTCCGTGTAAGCTGCATCTTCCCATCCTGCTTATTCCCTTTTGTTATGTGCTGAAGTAATAAATGGTTGGATAGGGACAGGGAGAATGAATGCATTTTGATGCTTTTTAGGAGCTGACAGTTTCAGAATGAGCAGAGTCCCGTGGGTTCCTTTGCATATTGCAGGGCTCGGCGTTTTTTGCTAGTGCACTGTTATATGAACAATAAAATGGTTTTATGAATAAAAATAAAAAAAAACAACCCACCCAATGAGAGCGATTTTCACAAGCCTTCAGGGTTAGCCCTTACTGTTCCCATTATAGTTTGGTAGAAACTCCCCTTGACTTCAGTAGGCAAGGGCTGAGCGTTTTTTTTTTAAATCCTGCTCCAAATGTTTCTGCGTATCAACTTCCCTCTTTAAACTTCCACCCACACACAGTGCTAAAAGGATTTCTTCTTCTGCGTGAGGACAACCAAATACACTGGCGTCCCCCCAGATAGAGCTGGAGTCTCTACACAAAGGGTGGCATCCTCCACAGTTCCTGGAATCTGGCTTCCAAAGTTGATTTAGGCACTTACAAGCTTCACTCACACTGATTTTTAGATGAGCTTTATGCTCAAACATGTTAAGTGGCTCGAAAATGGGATTTAGACTTCTGAGTCATGCAGATGATTTGGAAAACTTTAAGCCAAGTGTTTCTAGAATTTGGAACGGTTTTGACTCGTAATAAAAGGGCCAAACCCCGCTCCCCCACCCCATTAATTTTTTTTGAAATGCCGTACTTGGCACTAAAACCGTATTCTGGGGTGGTCTATCGCATGCATCTTAGAAAGCAGATTTTTCAACTCTGGCTCAGAGTGGGGAACAACTATTTATTTCATCATAATGTTGTTAAAGATTCGACTTTTGCAAGCAAAAGTTTGCCTGTGATCTCAGATAATGTGCAATGTCCAGTTAATGTAGTATGCAGCTTTTCCTTCTGGAGCCAGTAGAGGAAGTGTGGATTTTACAATTACAGTAGACTGTTTTTATTTTTTTTCTATTTGCAGATGGTGGAGGAAAGTGAAGAAAGATTGACAGAAGAGCAGATTGAGTCACTCATTCAGACAGTCACAAGCATTCTTCCAGGGGACCCAGAGGAAGAGAAGCAGACCCAGTCAGCTGTGCCAATGGAAGATGATTGCCACTAAAAGGCATCTGGACCAAAGCATTTTCAAGCTGAACAGAAAAAAATTAGCTAACTCTTTTTTTCGTTGCAATGTGCATGTCTGGGGGGTTTTTAGGTTTGGTTATGTTTCTTTATTCCTGGCTTGATCTTTTGTGATATCACCATACGGTATGTTCATGTTTTGTTATAAAGCAACAGTTGTTTACAAAAAGCATAAATAAAAGAAAGACTTGTGCATCTGCATTTTATTATTTTTGAAAAAAGGCGATTACAGGTTTCGTAAAGAAGCAGCGAGAGAAGTGGAGGGGAGGGCGCGGGAAATGCTGAACGTCCGTGTTCTTTTCCATTATCCTTACAGCAGCTATACTCTTCCCCGTATGGTTATACACAGCTGGCTATCATAGCAATACTTTATAATTGTTTTCATATGCTTTTGAATTGCCCAAACTGCTTTTCAGAATGCAGCCGATGAGACTGTGCAATTCTGCAGCTGTTGTGAAAGGGGCAATTTCAGGGTAAGGGAAAAGAAGTACAAAAGTTGCTTAATATCCTCATAAGATCAACTTTAATATATCCCTGCCTCTTATATCATGAAAGTGAGAGGAATGCAGAGATTGTGCCGGTACGTTATCTAGGGTCAAGGGTACCTTTGATGCAACCTTTTGCCTATATTAGCCGTAGAACCAGATCCACAAATAGAGTAAATTGGCATTGCTTCACTAAAGTCAGGTGTTATACTGATGTGTACCACCTAAGAGGCTGGCTCATAATATTCAGGTTCTCTGTAATACAGACAAATGGAAGTGTAGAAGTCATGCTGATATTTTTCTTTTGGTTCAACCTGCTCCCTAGGTCTTGCACGTAAAACGGTGAACGATCTTGCATTCCACCTGAGCTGTACTATACAGCTGGCTGATTTAGGAAAGATATGACAGCCCTAGCTATGAGTCTCTGCTTTCCTATGAAGCGGATGGAAACGCCTGCTGTACAGGGAAGTTATGATGATGCACAGTTCAGTAACGTGTAAGATGCTTTGAGGCTGTGAGATGGAGGGTGCGACTGAAGTAGAGATTACTGTTATATTCAGGAGATGGTAACTGCACGTCGAGTTAGTGAGTTCTAAAGTTGATGGCTGACACGTGAAGCCAAGGTGCAGTGGCAATGATATAAAAATTAAATGCCCCCAAATTATTTTTTTTAATACACAGAAATTGGATAGATTGCCAGATGGTTAACAGGTACTTTTTAATTTGTTTCTTAAATGAACTCTTTAGCTCTCAATGGCCTTTAACGGTTCTCAACATCTTGGAATGGGCCGTGTCTTTTTTTGGTTATTATTTATTTATCATCTTTGTACGAGCCGGGTGATTAGGTGCTGTTTTGAAGCCGTGATGAGGAAGCAGAAGCAGATCGTGTTTCTTTACCCTACTAGAGACTTTTTTGCCTCTTCTCTGAATTGGATGTTCCAAGCTCAGGAATTGTTGATTTGCTATCATTATATACTTTTGCCAGCATCAGTGTTGTTTTGTGATGCTTGTATTGTGTGAGTTACTAAGCAACTGCCCGTCTACTACATTATTTAATTGATTTAACAAATCGCTTCCAGATGAATAAATATTTTTTTCCCAGTAAATGTGTACAAATACAAAAATGGCTTGCTTTATCTCAGTTACGATACATAAAACATTCACTTTCTTGAAAGCAGGTTGCCAAATGACATGTTTACAAGGAAATGATAGATTTTAGTATTTGATTACACTAAAGAAGTGGTTTTTAGCCTGTTGTCTGTCTTCTCTGAATGCACAAACGTGGCTGAGGAGTGCTGGAATTATGAACAGCTTTCACTTCATATTTGCTTGCACTCGGGCTACTTTTAACCATGCTCCTGATGCAGAAGTGGGTTTGTGGAAAGCAAGTGTTCATGCGTGTGATGACATCTTCCAGTGCAGGGGTCGGCAATCTACATGGCACATGCAGCTATTTTGCTCGACACGTCACAGCTGTCCGATCCTGTGAACACGACACATGTAGATCAGGGGCAGGCAATTATTTCAGGCGGAGGGCCGCTTACCAAGTGTTGGCAAGCCATTGAGAGCTGCATGGGTAACCCGTGCCCTGGAGGCAGAAGGATGCCATGTGCTTTCATTAACTGTTAAAAGGTAGCATCAATCAGTGGTAAGCCATGAAGACCTGGGGATCAGGAGACTTGGAGTCTAATTCTTGACTCAGGTGCCCACCTATGGTGTGACTTCTGCTTGCCCTTTTCCGTTGTGCCCAGTCCACTGAAGACGATGGGAACAAGATTCAGCTCTCAGTTTAGTGAGGCAGGCTGAACCTGTTCACAACTGTGCACGTTCTGGGCACTGGGTTTGAAATGCCTAAATTATTCTGTATTGAATTTTCCCTGACAGAGTATTCTCTTTTTATTGCCCGTCTCCCTGGGGTGATCTCTCTTTGCCATGGAAACCGTCAAAATTGCACGTCCAGGAGATGTTTCACGTTGTTCACTTGGAGTATGTAACCCTTTACTTAGACACATGCTTTTCATGATTAAGTTTAGGTGGGAACTACTATCATTTCAATGACATTTTGAAATACTGTGGATAACATTCGTATGCCTCAACAGATTCAATTCTAACCTTTAGGGTTTTTTTTCCCCCTTTAAAAGCAGGCGATGTGGTTTAGGGTTCAAGCAGTAGGCTATGCAGGAGGGAGGGGCCTGGGTTTTGGGGATGCAGTAACCGAGCCTCTTTGCTGCTTTGGGCACATCTGTCCATCTCACAGGCCTTTGATCCTCCTCAGCAATATAATAAATCACAGGCAGGTTGTGAGGCTTAATTAGTTGGAGTGTTTTGAGCTCCTCAGATGAAAGTCACTACAGGAGAAATAGTATTTTCGCTGTAGGTTATAAATCAGGTCTATCTGGAGCTGTTTGCTCATTTTAACTTGATGAAGTATTTCAGTAGGGGGAGGTGATATTATCGAACGACATAAGGGCAATATTGTTTGCTAAAGTGGAGATTCTCGACCTTTCGTAATTGTAACCCCAAATTTCCTGCCATTGCAAGCGTCCCCGTCTCCCCTGCTCTCGGCATTGTAGGGTTTTTTTGTTTTGGCCTAAGGGTGTTTTGTGGTCATGGTGTCTAGGCGGGGTCGGAGTTGGGTGATTTTGGAGAAAGAATTGGGAGCGCAGGCACTGGGCTCAGTGGGAGGCCCTTTCCAGTCCTGTGTCCCAGTCCATCCCAGTCTGGGGAGCTTTTCTTGCAGCAGCAAGCCCTGGGTTATATCAGGCTTCAAAACAGGCACCATAGAAATAAAGCCCTCATACATGGAGCACAGCTGGCCTGCGGTGACAAGTTTGCACCCCTCCTTTTAGACATGTGCATCTTGTTGTCTCAATTCCATCTTTGTTACTGATGTACAATGGTGCTGTGTGCTTTGGTCTTCAGCTTGCTCTAGGATGAAGATGAGAACGAGTTGCCGTTGCCCACATCACCATTGTCCTTTTGACTGGTAAATGATGTAAGAATATTCTCAGCTACTGCAAATAATTTTGACTGAGAATTAAATGAGCAAGGAGTGTTTAGTCAGAGCTAACAGGCCTTTGGCCAAGTTGTCCGTGAAATGTTCTTAGAAGACGCTGGTAAATCCTGAAGACCTTTGCACACCATAAGCAACCGAATCTAAGCATATTGGTAAAATTAAGGATATTTATTTGATTAATTTTATTGTTTTATAACGCAACCATCAAAGCTATCTGCATTGCTGGATGAGGTTTTTAATGAGAATTGAAAACAAGCTGTCCCAGGACCCACCTGGGGGCAGGAGGGGAGGACATCTGAAAGGAAAGGGGAAGGCATCAATCAGTGAGAAACTAATGCAAATAGCAAGGACTTGAAGATAGCTTTCAGGATGGAGAGAGAGGGGACACAGGGAGACATGCAGAGGGTTGTGATTCCGCATGTGGCTAAGTCCCAGCAACAGAGTTGAGCCTCTTGGGCAGAAGACATGGAGCCAGTGTCACCACGAAGAACCAGGAGAGCATGTGGAATAAAGCCTAGATACCCCCACCGGGCCTGGGATCAGTAGCATGCTTGATGCTGATTTCCTGAGCAAGTGGATGGAGTCCTGACCATCCTCTGCTTTGGATAGCTGTGAAGAGGGAGAATGCATCCACCAATGCTGCTCTTTAGGCAGCTGCAGGGTAAGGGAAGAACCCAGCTTCTCTGAATGCATCTACATGAGACGTTTACTGCGGAGCTGACTCTAGGGTCAACATGTGCAGGGCAATTAGGTTCGAGCAAACAAATTAACTCCGCAACAGGAGAGTATTTGTGTTTACAATGCAATAAAATTTATAAGTACTATCCTGCCGCAGAGTTTTTTTATTCTGCAGTAGTGCATGCTGATGTGGCTGGCTTGGGCACAAGGTTGCTTCAGGGGGAGGCTGCCTACCAGCTAGCCCCAACCAGCCCCTTTGCAGCACATCAAGCTTGGGGGGAGCAGCCCTGGCTTTCCGGGCTGACCCCCGGGACCCTCTTCCAGCCAGGGGTGCTCTGACCCAGCTCAACGTGCTGTGGTCCCAGGCACAAGTTCAAAGGGTGCACCTAGGAGCAATAAACTCCAGAGTTTATTGCTTCACATTAATTGCATGTGTAGATGCTTCCTGTGAGAGCAACTAGGAAGATCTGAAACCCTGGCTACTGCTTGGGCGGCTGGGCGGAGGTGACCCTGTACTCTTTTCTTCTGAGGAATGGAGTTGGGCTGGCCCCATCCCGTGCATTTAAGGGGTCAGGGTTTTGGCTGTTGCCATTGTTAGGGCAGACTGGGAGGGGAGTAGCCACGCTGGCCCCTGGGACAGAAACCCACAGAAAAGGTGCTGAGGTGAAGAGAGAGCCCTGCCAAACCCTGGCGTGCAATAACTAACCACTAGCCACTTTGCTGTGGCATCCCCCATTTCTTGCCATGCTGCCCAGCTTTGCTCGTCTCCAACACCAAGAGCCATCCCATCCCCACAAGTGACTTTTCCCCAGACTGAACCCCCCATGTCATGGATGTAGGTGTTTCCACCGTGCTTGAGACCCAGTTGCTTTGCTGTGCTCTGCAGGCCAGTGTGGGTCACAATCCTTGTTTAGCAGTTCCCTGGCCAGTGCCTTGCTTGAAAAGACAACTGGATTGCAGCTCCAGTGGGTGTAATCCGTGACCTGGTTGAGTTGGGCTTTGCACTTTCTTCTC